AGGGAATTTATGGAGGGATTCAATCTTCTGCAAAATGATCTTGGGTGCTGGTATGGGTATGAGGGCGGTTTTCGCTTCCCGTTTGCCCACACCATGGAAGGATATTTCCTCTTGAGAGACCTGAAAAAGAAGCTGAATTAGTGGTCGTCTTAGCGATCTGAAAGCATGACCTCAAAACCCAAGGGACAACTGCATAAGGCCAGTCTCACACGGCTTCTTTATGGGAACTCTTTGATGTGTTAGCTCCGCACTTCAAAGGGTCTTACCTCAGGAAACAAAAATCCGTGCGGTAAAGTGAGGTGTAACATTTTTAGGGTCGAGCTTTCTTAATCCCTTCCTTTCGTTGTGAGAAGTCAGTGTCGCTATCCATTCAACTATAAACAAGTGGTGCTTAATGTAGAACCATAACTAGTTGTTCTTTCAAATCATTTTTATTTATGTAAACATAAATTTTAGTACAAAGGGGCACTAAAATATATGTTCACCACATAAGGCAGTTATCATGAAATTCGGGTATCCAGGCCAAAGAAAAGGTGGTGTTTTAGGGGGCCATTCTCCAAGCCCTTGACTTGGTGGTCTAGTCCACAACGCACTGGAGCAACTCTGGGAGGTGTAGTCTCATGGTAGCTGACATCCGATAATATACTCATGCGCGATCTGTTCCCTTAGGATCCTGGAGTCCATATACATCACAGGGTTTCCTAAGTCCCCTAGTTGGATTCTTCGCACCCACCAACCAAGTTTAAGCTCTGGATATTCGCACGTCACTGAGTAGTAACTCTGTTAAATAGGCATTAATTGGTGACTTGAAAATACATTTTTTGACCTCACTTCAGTGATTATGGGACCCTGATCATCCTCAGCTTTTTTTCAAACATTCTTACTGCAGCCAACATCATATTTTAGTATAGCCAGTTAGTTGGTTTGAATAACGCACACATTATCCATGTATCTTCAGTGTACGTCTACAGGTTTCAACTTTAAAGTTAAAGGTTCGGATTTCTCCTCACCTACCTTAGTTTGGACATTTGGGAAGTATCACTAACTATCATAAAAGTTTGTTGACATAACCCAAAATCGATCGTATTCACAGATACATTCACTCTACCACTAACTTTTCAATCTTAATATTATTTATTCCTTCCTATTTAGCTAATTCCTTACTGAACCCTTCCACGGTGTGGGCAACCGGGAAGTGATAACCGCCCTCATACCTCTAACAGCACTCATGATCACTGTATTCATAATCAACCTCTTTCTTCGGTCCCTATTATTCATCCTACATCGACTTTCAACACTAAACTTCCTTTTTTGGCTTCCTCAAGTGTAAACATGGCCAAAGATTCTAGTGATCAAAACTCTGTCCCAGGTCTACTGAAACCTCGCTCCAAACTGCACATTGGAGCCTTCAACGTACGAACCCTATGTCATATCGGTCAGCAGGCTTCCTTGGCTAAAACCCTAGAGTCTCTTTCCATTGATGTATGCTGTGTCTCCGAAACACACATACAGGATTCCAGTGTGGTCATTCACTTGACCTCACCTCGTCAAAACGGAGAGCCAACGAGATACACCCTCCGTGTATCTGGTGACCCGATGGCCAGTTCTCGTGGACTGGCAGGTGTAGGCATAGCACTAAGCATGAGGGCGGAACAATCACCATTAGAATGGATCCCTGTTAACAGTCGTCTATGTGCTGTTTGGCTTAACGGCTCTGTAAGAACTCGAAAGGATAGGGACACACGTCGTTGCCTTTTCGTCGTTTCTTCTTACGCTCCCACTGACTGCAACTCGGATGAAGTTAAAGATGAATTTTACAGAAAGCTAAACGCTCAGACTTAGTACATGTAGCAGGTGACTTTAATGCTCAGATAGGTAGCTTGAACCAAACAGAAAGACATTTAGGTGGGTATTTTGGTATTCCGATGAACGTCTGCTGTAACTATGCTCAGACAATCGTTTATTTTTAGCAAACACTAACTTTAGACATAAGGAGAGACATCGTCTAACATGGCGACCCTCTGCACCAAACCAACGATGGACTCAAATAGACTATATTGCCATCAGTCTTCGTTGGAGAGGGTCGGTAGAAGATTGTCGCTCATTCTGGAGTACCTGCTTAGACTCCGATCACGCCCTAATACGGGCACGCATCTGCCTGCGCCTCACTAGACGCAAAAAAGCCACAGTAAAAAGACCCATTACAACTGAATTGAGTAGCGAGAAAACCAAAAGAAGGTTCCAGGAACAACTGAGGTCACAATTACGTAGTTCTGAAAACGAGGCTGACCCAGATGCTACTTGGAAAGACATACAAGCAGCTGTGGAAACAGCAATGACATCTATCAGCGATTTAAACCACAGAGTTACAAAGAACTAATGGATTTCTTCAAAGTCTATCACACTGATGAATTCTCGCACACTCGTCCCATCAGGTTCCGAACACGATGAAGAGCGACAACAAATCAGATCTAGGTTAAGAAAAAGTCTAAGGAACGACCGTGAGCAGTGGTAGGCAATGAAAGCAAAAGAGATGGAAAAGGCGGCGACTATAGGGAACACAAGACAGCTTTACAGACTAATAGAAGAAACTGGAATTAATAAGTCAAGTGTAAGTCAGACTATTTCGGAAAAAGACGACACCCTCATCTGCTCTCAGTCCAGACGTTTAGAACGATGGGCGGGACATTTCAGAGAACAGTTCACCTGCTCTAAAACTACTCACCATTCCCAGACAGTGTGAATGGAACATTGAAGTAGGTCCCCCGACTCTAGCTGAAGTCCATAAGGCTATAGTTAATCTGAAGCGAGGAAGGGCAGCTGGTCCAGATGGATTGGCTCGAGAGGTCTTTAAGGATGGTGGTCCAATTTTAGCGATCAGGTTGACTAATATTTTAGCTAAGATCTAGGAGTTAGACGTTATTCCATCTGACTAGTCATAGTTACTGATCGTCCCAATATATAAGAGAGGGTCAAAATCATCCTGTGACAACTACAGAGGGATTAGTTTAACTAATATAATATCTAAAATACTAGCCTCGATAATTATCAGACGCCTAACTAAGACTCGTGAACTGCAAACACGAGAGAATCAAGCTGGCTTCGGACCTGGTCGTGGCTGCATCGACCACATATTCACCATTCGTCAGGTTCTAGAACACAGGCATACTTATCGGCGTCCGACAATGGTGGTCTTCATTGACTTAAAAGCAGCATTTGACTCTGGAGACCGACAGGTTGTGTGGCAGTGTCCGTCATTAGAAGATGTACCTTAGAAGTACATAAACCTTGTAAAGGCTCTTTACTCGAACACTACTAGTCGAGTCAGAGCTTATGGCGAACTGTCATCTGCTTTTGCAACCTCAAGTGTTGTCTGTCAAGGCTGTCGACTTTCTCCATTTTTGTCTAACTTCATCATAGACCTACTGATGGAAATAACGCTCTTATTGACTGAAATTTCGGGCATTGATCTCATTCCAGGAGGTCCAATTATCGACTTAGAATACGCAGATGACATAGTCCTGTTTGGTGAAGACGCTGACAAAATGCAGTCTTGGTAGCACTGAGCAACAATGCCAGCATGTTTGGAATGCGCTTCTCATCATCCAAATGCAAATTGTTGCTTCAGGACTGGTCTGGATGAACACCTGAACTAAGGATAGAGAGTGAAGTAGTCGAACGCGTTGACAACTCCACTTACCTAGGAAGTCTGATCAGCCCAAATGGGTTGGTGTCTGACGAAATATCAGCATGGATTCGAAAAGCTCGTTTGGCTTTTGCCAACTTACGTCACCTATGGCGAAGGCGAGATGTCCGTCTATCAATAAAAGGAACGAGTATACTACGTGGCAGTTCGTTCTGTTTTAATTTACGGTAACGAAACATGGTCATTAAGAGTAGGAGATACTCGTTAGCTACTAATATTTGACCACAGATGTCTTAGAAATATTGCTTGCATCTGTTGGGATCACCGGGGAAGTAATAGTGAGATTCGACGCATGGTATTAGGGAACGATGGTAAATCAGTTGATGAGGTTGTGAATCTTCATCGACGGAGATGGTTGAGCAACGTGTTACGTATGCCTGAACACCGATTACCACGACGCGCAATGCGGACTAGTGTTGGAGGCGACTGGAAGACAGTTAGGGGTGGCCAAACCAAAATATGGCATTAGTGCTTGAAGTCACTAACTTCTAGTCTGAGCCATGTTAGTAGATGTAGACTACTTGGTTGGGGTCCGCGTGACTATCGTAACCAATGGTTGGAGACTCTGGGTAACATGGCTCAGAATCGATCACAATGTCGCCGGTGTATACACTCTCTGTCTTCCTTTAAACTATGAGACTAAAATTATTTTATATCTTTCTATGTACGTACTAAATCTTTCTTCCTATACTATATCCTTATATGGAATTTTTCCTTTATATATTACACCATTGAGTTAACTGCTTCTATGAATCTGGTGTCCATCTTGCTGTGCTAATGAGGTATGGCAACTTGGACGGATGTACATATGTGCCTGATCCTACGTTGTAATTGACTGTCTGAATTCCTTATTGAGTTAAAAACGACTACCTTAATTTCGTCTTCTTTATCACTGCTTCCTGTAGTAATACAAAGCGTAACATATTGTCTCGATATTTGTGCCAGTTTCTACATTAGCTACAGTTCATAGGATCTATTAACTATATGTGCTTAGTAATATGACTCGTGGTTGTTTCTAGTAGACTTTGCATTCATTTTACTAGTCTATTTCTAATATTGTTTTGTGTGATTTGAAGAGTGCAGGCTCATGTATTCATATATATTAAGCCAGGTCTTTTAGAAGAGTTGGGTGTATTATAAGACTGCGCACATTGCGTATGTGGAATCAAGCTCAGTCTTGTAACTAACATTGTGATTGTAGTATCACATAATTTTTAAGTCTCAACTCCAGTTTTGATTATTTTGTTCCCTTCTAAATATACCATAACATTTTCACTTATTTGCACACTTTTAGCGATAAAGAGAAAAATACTGTTCAGGCTGTTGTAGAATATACGGATGAAGGTACATTTGACCAAGCCTCTTGTGAGTTAAAGTTTTAAAACCATTATATGGATATTTTTCATAGTGTTTAAAAAATGATTAAATGTTTCATTCAACCAAATGCCCTGATAAATTTAAGCAGCAAAAACAACAAGGTTGAGACAAAAATGGATTCATTTTATTTCACGGCTTCTCATCAGCGGCATACAACCTAAAATTACAATTAATAATATAATCATCGACAAATATTTGTCAAATTAACTCATAAACAAAAGTTACTGAGATTATTATTATTCCTCACTCTAAGACTTTGAAATTGTTAGTATACTTCATACTACCTGTTAAATACTTGTTTCATCGGTTCTGCAAATTAGGTTTAGAATGGGTTAAAAAAATTTCAAAACGGAGCATTCATTGACTTGCTTTTGTGGATGACATTCGAAAAGTGGAAATTATTACATTCTCACAGTGTACATCGGCACCTCATATGGATCATTTATTCATAAGGCTTCATACCTTCATTGATACTTCAGAAATCGGATATGGAGCGGTTGCATATGTCTAATGTTGCGCAGCTGGTATTGAAGTTTGTCCTTGCCAGCCAAGGGTAGCAACAATGAAAGTGTGCATTGTACTGTATTTAGAACTTACAGCAGCAGTTTTAGCAGCTCACTTAGACTTGCAGTTGCAATTTGAATTATGTATGAAGTTTTCAGATGTGATTCTTCTGACAGATTCTCTGATTGTTGTGCGTTATATCAGAAAGGAAAGCAATCAATTTAAGACATTTATAGCTAACCACGTTTTGACAAAGGATACCTCATCGAGATACTAAAGAAATGAGATATGAGCGAATTCGAGGAATACATATTTATCACACTACTATCGGTACCAGTGAAAGTTTTCAGTAGTGTAGCTGAACAGGATGAAAGATTCAGTAGACGCCCATTTTCAAGATCAGCATATGGATTCCGTAAGGATCGGTTGTGCATAGACCAAATCGCAACACTAAGGATCATTGTTAAGTAATCAATTGAATACACCAACTTCCTTAACTATGAGAAAGCATTTGACAGCGTGGATAGGAGGACCTTATGGAACTTTCTTCGACACTATGGTGTGCATGGAGGACAGCTGACAGATCCATTCCAAGTAAGGACCAGAGTCAGACAAGGCTGTCTACTCTCTCCCTTCCTCTTTCTTCTGGTAGTCGACTGGATTATGAAAACCTGGACATCTTAGGGGAGCACGGAATACAATAGACAGCTTGCATGCAAGTAGACTATTTTTACTTTGCAGATGATCCGGGCCTTCTATTTAATGCACACGAATAAATGTACGTCAAGACAACTGGTGTAGCAGCAGCCTCTTCATCAGTAGGCCTCAGCATACACAAGGGAAAAAGCAAGATCCTCAAATATAACACAGAGAACACCAACCCTGTCACACGTGGTGGAGAAACTCTGGAAGAGGTGGAAGCATTCACATACCTGGACAGCATCATCGATGAACTTGGAGGATCTGATACAGATCTCATGGCAATAATTTGCAAATCAAGGGCAGCATTCCTACAGCTGAAGAGCATGTAGGACTCAAAACAACTTTCAATCAACATCAAAGTGAGAATCTTCAGTACAAACGTGAAGACAGTTCTCCTGTACGGAGCTGGAACCTGGAGAACTACCACAACAATTATCAAAATGGTACAAGTATTTCTAGACAATTATCTACTCAAGATACTCATCGCCCATTGACAAGACACCATCAGCAAGAACCTACTGTGAGAGAAAAAAACCAGCTTCCAACCGAAGAAGAAATTAGAGAAAGACGTTAGAAGTGGGTAGGACATACATTACGAAAGTCATCGAACTGCACCACGAGGCATGCGCTAACTTAGAATCCGGAAGGGAAACGGGAAAGAGGGAGGCCAAAGAACACACTGCGTCGGCAATTGGAAGCAGACATGAAAAGGATGAATAGCAACTGAAAATAATTAGAAAGGATTACCCAGGACATAGTTTGATGGTGAGCGGCCTATACTTCTGTTATAACTTGTGACCGCCGATTAATGTGCAGTGACTTATTAATCGGATCAAAGACGCGTAAAACACGTGCGAGCAGTCTAGAGTCTTGATTGGCCCTGCTTTCCGCCTAGCCCAGCCAGTTAAGTCCAGAACACCAATCAGAGCCTCTGCGATATGAATAATTATATTTCAAACTTACTGAGTTTATATACCAATCAAACCAATCACAATATACCAATAAAATATGAAACAACATTTGTACAAGAATTAGCCAGTTGTGGATGTGAATGAGGGAGGTAGTAATTAATATACTGGGTATAACTCAAGAATGGTGAAAATAAAGCTTATAATAAGAGGAATATGAATATGCATAGTTTAGTTACTTAATAATTATACACTAGAAATATACGTTTAGTACTGGTCCATCAACAGATCCCAAAAGTTACCATTCATTATTCTTGTCGGGACATAACAGCTTCTCCATCAGGGTTAACAAGCGTAAGTTTTGATAATTCATAGCCATACCAAACCACACTAGTATTGATTTATACTTAACCATGGTAAGTTGAACGTCAGTATTTATCTGGTACTACTCAGTTATTTCATTATTGTGTAAAAATATTAAAATAGGCGTATGATACTGGAATAGCTAGCACCTTGATAGACCATTGTTATCATAGGTTTTAGTAGCATTATAAACTTTGAGCACATTCTTCCAGTTTTTAGAAGTTAATGTAAAATATTTCATCCACGTAGTTGGGAACTTAGTTGGTAATAAGCATATTGTAGTGTTGTTAGATTGTGTTCGTGGATATATTCGAATGTAAACATCTGATCTAACACTGATTTTGATCAAGTTTCTTATTTTTCACTTACCATTAATTGTAATCAATGGTTGGGAACTTTAGCTGATATAACACAAAGTTAACCGCAGTTACATTTATTGTTTGTGTTTCTCTAAATATCCAATATCATTTCTTACTTCTTATTCTTCGATCTTTTACATTTCAGTTTAACTGTACTTATCTCTAAATTTCCATTACTGTTTAAATTTATCCCTCTGCTGTACTTCATATATTTTTAAAACTTTTTGTCTTGCTTTGACGATGTGAAATTTGGCTATTTTATCGGATACTTCATTCTTGTTGGATTTTACGTTGACGACGAATACTGGTTCTTATAAAAAATAGTTTGCCACATTGTTCTACTTCTCAATTTTCGTCTTTGTATTTTCTCTTATTCTTTTTGTATATTTTTCTCACTCTCTGTGTATTTTCAAAGCATAAAATGAATCGTTTATTATCCTTTTAGGTAATGCTACTGATATCAAAAATAATATTCTGGAATCACCTACTGATTTATATTCACACAAACAAATGCACCATTGGACATTCCCTGCACAAGTACATACTGTCTATAGTTCAAGTGAAGATGAAACTTCCCATAGAAGTAATACTAGTAAATCTATTCCTAATAAATCTGAAATTAAATCTCATAATAATTCAGATAAAGGACAAAATACAAAATGTTCATCACCATTATCATTTTCATCGTTTGAGAATTCAAAACAAAAAAGTCAGTATAAAGCATCAACCAATTCAAGTCATCCAGGTACGATAGCAAATAAATTAAATTCGAAGAGTGCAGCTCATACTAATGTTAATTCTGATGAAGTTTATAAGTCACCCATTTCAAGACAGTCCGATCGTCGAGACGGGGGTAGGTTAATTTATTTATTGTGACCTTCAGTAAGGTTGGAACTATGCAGTCATGATTTAATGTTTTTAAAGCTTGACTAGTAGTCATTAAGCTTTGAGTCCAACTCTACTTCATTTTAAGCGACTGAATCATCAACTCTTACACAAGTATCGCCCAACTAGTAATACACAAACCTGTAGTTGGTTAGTCATGTTCAAAATAAATTAAGATGTGAAAATATGTATTGGTTCAAGTTGCCACACTTCATATTACTACAACAAGAGGAAATTAATAAGAGAAAATGCAGAAGAGTTGAAAAAAATAACATCAATGGTATTTGAGAATTGAATATGTAGTTTGAAAAGAATAAACACATGTATCACAATAATCAGTTATGGAACTATGACACCTAATATCTTCTGCCATAGATTAAAGTTATTTAATGGACCCTAGTTCCGGAAGTCCACACTCCTTGACACACCTCAGATCAACAGTTATTAACTTGATAGATCAATACAATTGTCTTGATTTGTCTCTATACTAGTCAGGATAACACGTTAAGTTAAAGTATCTGGTCGTGTGTAAAGGTATCAACCACAGCTGTTGACGTCTCACTGCCTCACAATCTCTACGTAGTATTATCCAGTTAACCGCAGAGTTATTCATTCTGTAGTTCCGCTATAAGGGAGGAGTCTGTGCGACGAAGTTATTCATCTTACACTGTTCAGCTAAAAATCCCCAAAATGACTAGTATTACAAATATTTGTGTTCGAATCTCAGTAACAGATGAAGAATAAATAAATCTACATTCCTTACTTTTGTTGACTACTGGTTATCAGTATTATGGAACATTGTTTAGGATCTCTAAGGCTTTTCAAGCTTTGACAACCGGGAAGTCAAAGATTTTATAAATTAAAACAGGTTTTATTTTCATATAAGTTTCATACTAGTCAAAATATCACAAGATTGTTCAACTAAACATGTTCTCTAACATTACTCTCCAATGTTACTGATTTTCTAGCTGTTGGTTACCCCCACCCTCATACATACATTTCTAATCAGTACATATCATTATTATTATCGTTATTATTCTAATAACTATTGTCCTTAAGTTTTAATTTATTTCTGAAATTGATTTCATCAGATTTCGACAGCGATGAGGATACAGCTCAACTATTAGATAAACAGTATCAAGCTGATAAACAAGTTTATATTCCAGAATTGAAAGATAAGTCTTGCATAGAGGTATGTAATACTTTATTAGTGGTGCATATTTTTTGTTTTCTTTTGATTGTAGTGCAGTTTAGTCACCACCAGGGTGTAGTTGAATGTTGAACACCTTAGCCACTAGGCTACTACTGCGGATATAGAACAGCTTTCACATTTGCGACTTAATTGGAGGTGTTTTATCTGTCCGCTTTTTTTATTAATACTGTAATACTACCCAACTATGTAAACTTCATTGTTTTTAATACTGGATTTTGCATAAATTGCATTTCATTAACTCGAAAATATGTTTTTGGTTTTAAATTAAGCTCAATTGATGATCATATTGTTCTTGCTTGAGTCTCCCAACTAAATATCAGAAGGAATTCGTGTAGAGTGATTTCGAATCTCTGATTTTAGGTCTTTATAATTTGTTTCCTTCATTGTAACTTATTTATGAGGTATAAGTTTAAATACTAGGCTTTGAACCACGCTATATGACTTAATGAAACTACTCAAATTGCTCAGACAAAAGCAGATGTAATAAAAGGATTCTAGCCAGAGTCAATGATTATGAAATCTGAATACTTTGACCACTGGGCCACCGTCGTAAGGTTGTTTCTCTTTTGCTTTATGTTATTAATTAATCCTTTTGTCTCGTAAATTATTATTATTATTATTATTATTATTATTACTATCGCTACCATTCTATTTGAAGCATACATACTTCAGTAATACGAATATTGCTAATTATTTCTTGAGTACTTACAATCATTAATACGGTTAAACATAAACGCCAATAATTATTGAGAAGTGCTGTTCTTTCTTGAATCTAATGAAGATAACAGCAGCTTGTTTTTTAATTGTTAGATGAGGCTTTCTTATGTTGGTATTGTTTCCTTTATCACTATTATGAGGGCACTTTTTAAAATAATGTTTATTATACACTTAAGAAATCAATGGGAAATTCTGGGCATATATATAATTTATATATGTAGTACTGTACTATTTTATGCTGTATGTGTTTTTTATGCTCCAGATGGTTTAATCACTAAGCGTTGCTTACGTTGAAGCATCAGTCGATCAGTCAGTCAGCTACATCGTAAGACCAGGCACATATGTACATCCGTCCAAGTTGCCATACCTCATTAGCACAGCAAGATGGACACCAGATTCATAGAAGCAGTTAACTCAATGGTGTAATATATAAAGGAAAAATTCCATATAAGGATTTAGTATAGGAAGAAAGATTTAGTACGTACATAGAAAGATATAAAATAATTTTAGTCTCATAGTTTAAAGGAAGACAGAGAGTGTATACACCGGCGACATTGTGATCGATTCTGAGCCATGTTACCCAGAGTCTCCAACCATTGGTTACGATAGTCACGCGGACCCCAACCAAGTAGTCTACATCTACTAACATGGCTCAGACTAGAAGTTAGTGACTTCAAGCACTAATGCCATATTTTGGTTTGGCCACCCCTAACTGTCTTCCAGTCGCCTCCAACACTAGTCCGCATTGCGCGTCGTGGTAATCGGTGTTCAGGCATACGTAACACGTTGCTCAACCATCTCCGTCGATGAAGATTCACAACCTCATCAACTGATTTACCATCGTTCCCTAATACCATGCGTCGAATCTCACTATTACTTCCCCGGTGATCCCAACAGATGCAAGCAATATTTCTAAGACATCTGTGGTCAAATATTAGTAGCTAACGAGTATCTCCTACTCTTAATGACCATGTTTCGTTACCGTAAATTAAAACAGAACGAACTGCCACGTAGTATACTCGTTCCTTTTATTGATAGACGGACATCTCGCCTTCGCCATAGGTGACGTAAGTTGGCAAAAGCCAAACGAGCTTTTCGAATCCATGCTGATATTTCGTCAGACACCAACCCATTTGGGCTGATCAGACTTCCTAGGTAAGTGGAGTTGTCAACGCGTTCGACTACTTCACTCTCTATCCTTAGTTCAGGTGTTCATCCAGACCAGTCCTGAAGCAACAATTTGCATTTGGATGATGAGAAGCGCATTCCAAACATGCTGGCATTGTTGCTCAGTGCTACCAAGACTGCATTTTGTCAGCGTCTTCACCAAACAGGACTATGTCATCTGCGTATTCTAAGTCGATAATTGGACCTCCTGGAATGAGATCAATGCCCGAAATTTCAGTCAATAAGAGCGTTATTTCCATCAGTAGGTCTATGATGAAGTTAGACAAAAATGGAGAAAGTCGACAGCCCTGACAGACAACACTTGAGGTTGCAAAAGCAGATGACAGTTCGCCATAAGCTCTGACTCGACTAGTAGTGTTCGAGTAAAGAGCCTTTACAAGGTTTATGTACTTCTAAGGTACATCTTCTAATGACGGACACTGCCACACAACCTGTCGGTCTCCAGAGTCAAATGCTGCTTTTAAGTCAATGAAGACCACCATTGTCGGACGCCGATAAGTATGCCTGTGTTCTAGAACCTGACGAATGGTGAATATGTGGTCGATGCAGCCACGACCAGGTCCGAAGCCAGCTTGATTCTCTCGTGTTTGCAGTTCACGAGTCTTAGTTAGGTGTCTGATAATTATCGAGGCTAGTATTTTAGATATTATATTAGTTAAACTAATCCCTCTGTAGTTGTCACAGGATGATTTTGACCCTCTCTTATATATTGGGACGATCAGTAACTATGACTAGTCAGATGGAATAACGTCTAACTCCTAGATCTTAGCTAAAATATTAGTCAACCTGATCGCTAAAATTGGACCACCATCCTTAAAGACCTCTCGAGCCAATCCATCTGGACCAGCTGCCCTTCCTCGCTTCAGATTAACTATAGCCTTATGGACTTCAGCTAGAGTCGGGGGACCTACTTCAATGTTCCATTCACACTGTCTGGGAATGGTGAGTAGTTTTAGAGCAGGTGAACTGTTCTCTGAAATGTCCCGCCCATCGTTCTAAACGTCTGGACTGAGAGCAGATGAGGGTGTCGTCTTTTTCCGAAATAGTCTGACTTACACTTGACTTATTAATTCCAGTTTCTTCTATTAGTCTGTAAAGCTGTCTTGTGTTCCCTATAGTCGCCGCCTTTTCCATCTCTTTTGCTTTCATTGCCTACCACTGCTCACGGTCGTTCCTTAGACTTTTTCTTAACCTAGATCTGATTTGTTGTCGCTCTTCATCATGTTCGGAACCTGATGGGACGAGTGTGCGAGAATTCATCAGTGTGATAGACTTTGAAGAAATCCATTAGTTCTTTGTAACTCTGTGGTTTAAATCGCTGATAGATGTCATTGCTGTTTCCACAGCTGCTTGTATGTCTTTCCAAGTAGCATCTGGGTCAGCCTCGTTTTCAGAACTACGTAATTGTGACCTCAGTTGTTCCTGGAACCTTCTTTTGGTTTTCTCGCTACTCAATTCAGTTGTAATGGGTCTTTTTACTGTGGCTTTTTTGCGTCTAGTGAGGCGCAGGCAGATGCGTGCCCGTATTAGGGCGTGATCGGAGTCTAAGCAGGTACTCCAGAATGAGCGACAATCTTCTACCGACCCTCTCCAACGAAGACTGATGGCAATATAGTCTATTTGAGTCCATCGTTGGTTTGGTGCAGAGGGTCGCCATGTTAGACGATGTCTCTCCTTATGTCTAAAGTTAGTGTTTGCTAAAAATAAACGATTGTCTGAGCATAGTTACAGCAGACGATCACGATTATCTGTTCGCTGTGCTGGAATACCAAAATACACACTTAAATGTCTTTCTGTTTGGTTCAAGCTACCTATCTGAGCATTAAAGTCACCTGCTACATGTACTAAGTCTGAGCGTTTAGCTTTCTGAACCCCTAAATGCTCTGGTATGGCCGAGAGCGGGATGGGTTCGCCCTCGCTCTCGAAATACTCTCACACGGCCACACGTATACAGCCTCTGCCAGGGAAATTCTACTCACTGCCTTCTCGTGGCGGGGGTGTTGTTTACGAAGATGAGGTAACGAAAAGCGAATGTACGGAGCTTTAACCGGATTCCAAATCAATGGTGCAAATGGGCTCCAGTATCCTACGGGAACAAATGGCGTATGAACCAATTTTCGGTCACCGGCTACCATGGGACTGCATCTTCTCACGATGCTCCACTGCCTTGTGGGTTAGACCATTAGGTCAAAGGCTCGGGGTGTGGCCCCCTAAGATAACCACCTGCTTCGGTCTGGGCACCCGGGCAGTATCGTAGCCCACACGCAATTAATGAACTGAACTGTCTATGATCATGGAAACTAATTCTCTTGCTTCGACGAACATTCAAATGATTCAAATATTATTATTGCTATTATTATTATTATTATTATTATTATTATTATTATTATTATTATTATTATTATTATTATTTACTATATCATTTTTCACCCTCTTTTATTCCTACTCCGTCTATACTTATTTTTTGGACTTATACAGCAGCTCGTCTATAGTGGAAATTCGACTCTATCTAAACGTTCTCGAGTCACTGTCCGGTTGAAAATCGTATGTTTCCACCGAATACGAGGACTGAAGCAGTTTTTCTAAAACCACATGCACCATTCAAACTGACTGCCTTCAACGTTCGCACATTTATGCAGGTCGGACAACAGATAGGGCTGGCTATGTCTTTGGAAAGTCTTAATATCGACGTGTGTTGTCTATCCGAGACCCGTATTCAAGACTCTGGCGAAGTACTACAAATTCGATCTCCATCTGTCGCTTCGAAAAGCTTGTTTTACGTGCGCTTATCCGGGGACCCTGTGGCATCTTCGTCTGGTCTTGCTGGCGTTGGTGTCGCACTAAGCGCTAGAGCTGAGGCAGCACTAGTCGATTGGATCCCCATTAACAGTCGGTTATGTGCTGTTAGATTAGAAAGTTCCATCAAAGTGAGAAGAAATCGGCGTGAGAAACGATGTCTTTTCGTCATCTCCGCCTATGCCCCGACAGATTGCAGCCCGGATGCAATCAAGGATGAATTCTACCATCAATTAACTTTTCTTGTCCAGAAAGTGCGTTTGACAGATATTGTAGTA